AAGTTCACCCGCCATTCAAGATCCCATCCGAGGCCTGTCTTCACTCCATTAATCCGGGAATGAGCTATGATTTAGTGATAACTAAGACCAAAGCCATACTACAGCCGCCGCCCTACCAAACCGACTGTTACTCCTATCATATCACCCGCGAAGGGGACTCGATGTCCAGATCTGACTGTATAGACAAATGTATGCTAAGAATATACGAGAAAAAATGCAAGTGTTTGCCCATTCACATCACCATTTGGAGGCATAATAACGCAAATCTGAACCTGTCCATCTGTAATTACGATGACTTTGAATCCATATCTGAATGTCTACAGCAAGAGCTCAGCAATAATTGTTACGACAGATGTAGACCCGATTGCATTGACAGGTATTATGACATTATTGTTAATGTGATTCCTATTATACATAGAATTATGCATATTATCTGTGGAGCTCTGGGAACGCTTGTACGGTAATGTACTTGATTTGGGACAGTAGTGCATAGAAAACATAGACAAATATATTGAATAGATAAATATCAATAAAAGCATTGAAAATATATTTTGTAAACACTATTATTCAGAATATTCCGCTCGATTCATGTGTTTAACGACTGATTCCTTTTCAATCGTTAATGATTTCAATATTAGGTCACCAAAACAAATTCAATACTTATTCGCTGTGTATGTGAATACCACATGTACTCTCATTATACTAGTAACTAGTATACCGTACTAACTTATTATACTTCTTATGCAAAACATTATACATTGTACAGAGAAAAATTAAATTTTAGTATTTATGTTGTAACTTTTATATTGTATAAAAACATAAATTAAATTATGATTTCCTAAAAATTGTAAAAGGAGAAAATATATTTCCTAATTTATGTACAAGTACTTTACTGTTATTAAGTTATTGTTATTCCTAAAGCACTCATTGATTAGGAATTAATATGTCATCAAATTATTGAATATGTGTCCGAAAAAGAGGACATATTTTAGCATATTTTCAAACAAAAGCAGTTCTAGTTTATTGATAATCAATCAATTAAATAGAGTTTACAAAAAGGACTTATTTTACGAGTTAGAAAAAGTTATTTGAAAATAGTTAGCAGATAGGTATGAATCATTATTAAAATTAAGTAAAATTAAATTCAAAATTCAAAATACTATATTTAAAACGTATTTTAAATTATTTAAAGTCTATGCATAATGCAAACATATACCTTATTTCTAAACATGAATTTATTCCCTAATTTAATAATTGAATTATAAAAAATATTCAATACAATTACGATTTAAATGCTAGTTATAACACAAAATAATTAATAGAAAGCATCAATTTTATGTCACTATTAGAGTACACTGTTATTAATCGCATGAATAATTGATTGAATCGATGAATACATGAATACATGAATGCATTGTGTTTTTGTTTGGCAGACACTATCACATTGAGGTTGAGAGCAGAACCTACCCATCGGATCAGCAAATAAATCGGGCCATCAGTACAGATCAGGAACGGCTACTCAATATGCGTAACAACGCGGCCACCATCAACATCTGGAGCAACTACCTGAGCGATGTGACGTACGTGCACACGCCGGCCATGTCGCTCATCCAGCTGGTGTGCTACCTGGGCGGTCTGGCGGGCCTGTGGCTGGGCGTGTCGGTCATGACCGTGTCGGGCTGGTTGGCACAGCTGTACCCCCTGTTTCAGAAGTGGAAAGGCAAACAAAATCATATATTTCTTCACTGCAAACGCCACCTTCCCGTCGGAAATGCGAGCAAAATATCTCCCGACGACCTCCTCCTCCACCCCGAACACAGTCACAGCGATCTCTATATGCATAGGCCGTCCGTTTGCAGTCTCAGTCAATTCAATCCGAGATTTTGATGTCTTGCGAGTCAATGGATTAGACTAATTGATGATTATATTTAGGGAAAGGACTTGTACTCTGAGTTAACTATTGCTTCAATTTGAATGTCCGCTAAAAACGATAGTCTTATTTTGTGTGATTCGTATTGTTTAGCAATAGATTTGTATTTTTGGGAAAACAAAACGTGTTTTTTATACTGAATATTACTCAATGTGTGGATGAAATGCTTTGGAAAAGTATTGAAAATCGATTAAATCGTTTAAAATCCACAATTCATTTGATGAGGAATTTGCTGCAGCTTTCGATTCGTGATTCTTATTAATTGTCAAGAATTCTAATAATTTGTATTTAATATAATTATTTGACAGTAAGTAATGATGACTATATTTATAATACAATTAGGAATAAATTGGGAATCAAAATAATTAAACTGATCAATGCACTGATAAACTTCAACACAAACTGTGAATCTAGAGCTGAAATCACTGGACATTCAATAATAAATTACAAACAATATATCCAAATAAATTCAATGTCTGTTTATATACAGAATTAGTAATTTTATAATAGTTTGTAAGAATTTTAACAAATCTGTGGTTTTTATTAATAGATTCTTAAAGAATATGTAATAATTGGTAAAACAATTTGTTTTAAAAACATTTTTATAGTTTTAATAGTCAAACAAATGTTGTTAAACTAAATTGAAACTAAATCTAAATATATTTATTCACAAACTATAATATTATTATTATGTACATAAAAACTATCTGTTGAACACTGTATTGACAAACAATAATAACACACATGCCTTGAGTTATAATCAATTGTTATTAAAGTATATTTTGTCTTAAGAAAAGTTTAGATAAAAGTTAGCTTTAGTTTACGTAATCCTGAGATAAATACAAACTTTTTACAGATTATTAGAGCTTTAGCTGTGATATGATCTTTGATTATATAAATTAGTTGTTCAGTCAAAGCAAAGACAAAACACACAAATACTATATACTTATGATTAAATGTTTGGTTCACAATAACAGTACAGTTTACTTCACATTAGCTCACGATTGACATAACTGATACTGATACTATTTGATCACAAATGCATTTACATATGAATTGGGATTTATGTTTAAGAATTATGTATAAAAGTTATGTTTTTTCAAATGTCAGATCAATACTGTATTATGTTCTCAAGTGTTTAGCAATAATTTTTACAAAATTATTTCCCTTTTTGTAAATTAATATTCTATTAAATACTGTATATGTAATAGAAAATGAATTAATAAAACAAAATTATTAAAGTATGGTAAATATTTTTTATCAAGGTTAAATTTTAGAAGTTAAATAGATGCTAAATTTATATACAGGCATACTATAATACAATTTCTATTAAAGAATATAAATATAATTCTAATTTGTCAAGGTAATATAAAAACAATTTATTAGAAAACCATTAAAACAGATAATTTCTTAAGTAATGTTCAATAATTGGAAATACAAGTCATGGAAAAGTGTATGTGGAGCATACATGTGCCAAATATACAGTATACCGTAAAATGTGCCTGTCTCCAAATTAGGAGAATTCCAGATTACTCTTAAGCACGTGTAGTCACACACGTGTTGAGCCAATATTGCAAAATGGCATAAAAATATTGGTTCAAACACACTTCAAACATTTTATTTGTCATAAATACCACTGTTTGTCAACATATCTAGTCTTAAATCTTTATTTACTAAATTTACTAATTAATTATTAACCAAATAAATGAATATTACCGTACAGTATATGCAATAATGTATAAATAATAAAAGAGAATATACAGAATATAAATTTAATACTAATTACATGTTTTATTGAAAAGTCTAACAAATGGTAGAATTGGTGGAAAAGAGATGACACTAAAAGCGCTCACATTCTCTCATTAATACTATGAACCGCTTTACCTGTTATTACATAACTGTTTGCACAGAATATTTGGCGATTTTTGTTTACTTTAATACGATATAATAGTTTAAGCTTTGGAATACCTATCTAATTGTTCCAAAATATAATCATGATACTTTATAAACTCCAATTTGACACAATCAAAGGTTTTTGTTTATTTTGAAAATATAAATTTTATTTTTGTCCTAACTGATATTTGTTAAGAATTTATAATTATTAAAGATTCTATGATTATATGTGCAATATAATTGTTTAAATATTTACCTAAAATAAATATACTAATTATAATACAAAACTAGTAAATAGTGAGGTGTGTGTGTGTGTGAGAGAGAGAGAGAGAGAGAGAGAGAAAATAAAATTGTGATATAGATTTTCAAGTAAATAAATTGATAGACTGCTTAATATTCAAGTAAAGACTAAATCATTTAAAGCACTTTACATTTTAATATGTAAAAGATTTACAAAATAATGCACTTATATTTAATGAAAAATTCCTACGTTCAATCCAATTAAGCCTTAAAATTGAAAAATATTTTTAATATTTATAAAATACAATTTTGCACTCAAGAAAAATATGTCAGAAAAAATCAAAATTTTAATTATATAATTAAATAGTTGTGATGTAAGTGGTTTAGAAATCTTAGAGTTTTAATTATTAATAAGCTACACATTTTGACATTTTGGACACATTTGAAACATTATTTTATTTTCAAGTTTGAAAAATCTTAATATTTTTATTCTTTACTAAATTATACTTTAATGGAAATCATTTAAATATTACAGAATATTTATATACTAGTTAATTAAAAGTTTATTTCATTAAATATTTTGTTAATCATTTATGTATTACTGTAATTTGATCATTTATTTATTATACAGTAAATACACTTTAAGTGCTTTGATAATAAATTATTAGTTTTATTGAATTCTATGTAATGTTTGAATTATACACTCAATAGTGTTGTGTCAGCTCTAACTCCCACTCTAGACATCAATATTATATTTTAAACATTATATACAGTAATAAAAAAGGAATTTATTTTTTAGTAAATTTTAATTTATGCTGTTTTATATACATCCAAAATTAAATCAATCCTTTTATTTAAATATCATATTAAAGTAACTAGATACAAATATTAGTACATTAATTTCAAATAAAACATACAAAAACTTTTGCATTTAAATACTGTCAGTAATGCCAGACCAGGCTACATAAATATTTATTAAAAGCTTAATTAAAATTTAGTATTAATTAATGTCTAAAAAACTGTTATGTAATCTGTTAATACATTTACATGAAACGTCTAGAAATAATTTAAATGTTTTCACCAAAATTACATAGACAATTATAATTACTGACAATTTAATATTAACTCAAAAAATGCCATGTATAACAAGTGAACAGTGTTGTTTTGGACACAAACTCTTGTGAATTATAAAGATTGTAACAACATGAACTAGGTCACAAGTGACGAGATCTTAAATGTCAACCATTCTCATATTATAGTCACACTCTCTATTCTATGGCTAAATAAACTCTCATTAATAGTAAATAACAACAAAATAGTTTCACAATAAATACGATAATAAACATAAATTATTGCTTCAAAAATAGTGTCCTATCAATAGCTTCTATTAAATCCATTTCCCACGAGATCTGCTAATTGACACTTGAATTCAATACAATTATCTCTTTTATAATAAAGATCTTTAGCTCATTATCAGTGATGACTATCTCTACAGACACACAAAAAATAGTGAGAAAATGTAATTCAATTTTTTCCACTTTCCTTATTGTCGTCTTATTGTCGGCTTTTGTATTATAATACAAAATTGTGTCATAAAAGTAGTGACTAAACAAAAATAAGAAAACATTTGTGTGAACGCAATGATTGCATCTATTTATATAATGTCCGTCCATTTCATTGGAAGTAATCGTTTCCTATTAGATTGGTTTATAAAATAGGAAAATATTTAAACAACAAAAGGTTTCAAATTTATTTTGGATATTATCTCATTTGAATAGTTTGAATAGATTCAAATTGTTTATCTTCATAATACGTTTTCCAATTTGAATCAAATGAATCATGGTAATATTGAATCAATGACTAATATTACCATGTTTAGAATATGGAGAGGCTTGCCATATTTAGAAAGATTTTCATTTCAAATGTGGTAATATTATATAATATTTACTGTGGGTTTGTTTGTTTAGTTATGAGTTTGTTTATTTTTGATATTTAAATCTTCAGTTCAGAGTCTAAATACTGATTGTATTTCTAAACGACACCAATAAAATTTATTGATTGCATTTAATGCAATCATTTTAACGTTTTGTCTGTGATATAACACATCAATATTTTTCAAAGTGTTTTCAAACTTCCAATTTAGGTGTTTCATAAGTTTTAGTAATATATAGTTTATTATTCAAAAATACTTCAAAATCATGTACGAAATGAGTAGGGATAGTTTGGATAGATTTGGTGATGATTTGTGTGAACTTATATTGAGATACCTCTCACTTGAAGACCGATTCAAATACGAAAGTGTTTGCAGACAATGGCAACGACTTGTGTATAATTCACAAACACTTCTTACCGACAAATGCATACAATTCTTGACTGTTAACAACAATTCATGCGTTAATTTAAATTCGTTTGAATACATCCTAATAAAGTGTGCGAACATTAATTACATTGAATTCAATCACTATTTATGTCTATTAACTAATGAAATGCTTGAACTCATTATAAAGCATTGCACTCATATAAGTGCTATCTTCCTCAATTACGATAAGTATATACCAATAACTGTGGAAACGGTGGATATGTTTTTTGCCAAGTTTGGTAAACAATTAAAACGGATTGTTTATTTAGAAACATGTGAACATAATTATCTCCATAAATCCACGTTGAAGCACATTGAAAACAAATTAAAAAATAAGCTAAAATTGTGTATCAACCTAAAACATATTAGCCTATATTCATACGGGAGACTTAATGCATTATCGCTGTTATATAATAATCAAGATAAAAATATTCTCAACAAAGTAAACAGCTTTGGGTTTGCGTA